TCCACGACATAGCAGAATTCAGCACTTGAAGCAATATTATTCCATAATGTTCTTCCACCTTTTTAATACTGGGAGGATTGTGGCAAAAAAACAAACAAAACCAACTCGCCCCCCCACCCCAAGGTACACCCAAAGGGTTGGCACCAGGGTAGAGAAAGAGAGGAGCTCGCTGCAGAGAAGCCGTTCTGACAAAACTCAACATGGCTTTGAGAACTCTGGGGAATGGGGCTTACTTCTTTTTCCTGTAGATGTCTGGCCTGGCAACGGACTTCAGTCAGAGTCCTATTTCCCTCTTCATCTCCTGAGCAAGGAATATTGGAAGGGATTGCGTCTTACAGAGTATATATGGAGGATCTGAAGGAGCAATGGTGCACGTGGATGTGGAAGCAAAATAAAACCAACTAGCCTGGGCGAGCAAAGTCACAGCTGCCTGGGGAAATGAGCCTGGTGCAAGCTAAGGTAGGAAGTTAAGAGTGTTACAGCTCTTCTGGCACGGGCCCTTTTTGCATATTTTTTTTTAGCGTTGCTTTGCAAGAGTTCAAACTCCACCGAAAACCCACTTATTCCCCAATTGAGGTGTTTAGCTGGGGAGTTAGAGCAAGACACCAACCATGGCGTAATTTTGCTGGGAGAACTGGAAAGATTTGCAGCTCCCAGAACCAAGTCTGGGTAATTGTCAGTGATTTTGAAGTTCCAGAAAGCTCCTACTACTGAAATGACTCCCTAGAGGATTTGTGGTGTTGTGTTCCTTTCTTTCCTTCCTTCCCGAATGGGAGAGGCAGCAGCCTCAGTTAGTCCTGCCACCCTTCAGACTAACCAGGAAAACCCAAGGCCTAATGAGAACCTCTTATTCTGAACGACAAACCCAACGCATCTGCAATAACGTTTCATTTCAGCAGTCTCCAGCAGCATGAAGCACAGCAGGTGAAAAGGAGATGAGGAAAGACTTTAGCTTTAGCTTTAGCATTTTAAACATTTTAGATGTTCTATCGTACAAGAAGATAACAAACAGGTCTGAGGTTGAACGCTCAGTTTACCTGGGGCATTTAGCGTCCGTGCCCCACTGAAAGTCATCACAACTTGTTTCTAAAAGCCCTAAACTCTGCATGGAGCTTCTGTAAACATAACCCTGTCACAAGCAGTTTTCTCTGAGTGCTGCAAGACAGCCATGATATATCTAGTGTTTTTTTCTTTTCTTTTTTTTTTTTTTTTATCAGCAAGCCTGACAAAAAAAAGACATATTTTACTGCAAGATATGAGACTTAAATTTTGAGTGTATGCTAGAAGTCAACCTACAGTAGCAAGTCATTAAGTAGTCTCCAGAGGAACAACCTCCCCGGCAACTAGTTTTTCTGGTGTATAGGCTCAACTGTTTGAGTCTTCCAAGCAAAACTCCCCTCCCTCCTCCGCTCTCCGCGTGTTCCCCCTCGTGCAGGCTGCTTGTCATATGGAGTCTTCCTTGCAAACGGGAGCAGGAGTTTGTACTGACCAGCTGGTAGGAAGAAGGAAAGTACACTGTGTTACTGGGCTGTCAGATCTGCAGAGCTGACTGTTTCAATCAGCCTTTAAAGACCACAGTGTTAAATGGTATATTGAACATCTGCCTGTTGCTAAAAATTGGCTTTTTAAAAGACAATCTTGGACTTTTCCGGATGTACAGTAATCTAGATAGTTGTTCCTCGTAATGAGGGCAAAGACTGAGCAGCCCCATCTTACTGGGGACAATTATAAACTCTGTGCAAGACAGATGCCAAGACCATCTGCTTCAAGAAAGACAGCCTTCTTACCAGCAAGTTGCATGAGGATATGTGGGCTATTTCCCCCTCTCGCGTATGAAAGAAGTCCAAGAAAAAGAAGGCACAGGGCCAAAGGAACTATGAAGTTTCCTAGGCAGAACTCCAAGAATGATGGAGATAGCTCACTTATCTGTAAACCCTTCACTGTAAAAGTAATTGGTATTAATAAAAGTGGCAACACACGGGCACATCATTTCTGAAAGTTACAGACGCATGATCAAGGGGAACAGAATTACGATGCTGTGACAGCAGCCCTGCACCCTGGCTTGCACGTATTCCTTCCCGGCAGCGCGCCACGCTTGCCTCCAGCCCTCCCAAGAAGCGCCTTTCGGCTGGAATCACTTTGTTGCATTCTCCATCTAATTTAGAGGAGAGTAAATTGGGGAAACTTGAAACGAGCTCTCCCCTTTTCTCCCAGTGCTGCCTTTTCCCTGGCTCTGTCTGCTCACACGCCAAGTTCAGCCTAGGGGTCTCAGTCTAGACTTGTTCTGACCAACATCTCTAACAGACCAATTTCTGGCGAAACATGAAATTGGGAAGATAAGAGAAGGACATGATTCGAGTTAATTAGCCCAGCAAGAAATCTTTTCCCAGGTGGCTGCTGGAAAGACAAGTCTAGACTCGCACCACACAGACACGCGCCGTCTATCCTTGCGCACAGCAAAATAGCTGACAACGTGAGCTTTGGAGTTTGCAACTCTCAAGTCGACAAGACGGAATTATCCTCATAAAAATTCCCCCCGCAGGCTTCAATGCAGATGTGAGAAATTCCACAAAAGATTAACACGGTGACCAACTGAGAGGGACAAAGGATTTTATCTTCAAGTTTCCAGGGGAATTTTGATTCTGGGCTTGTTGCAAACATTTAATCCCAATTCATCAACTCCAGCAGAACCCATTCAGTCAACATTTCCTTTTTTTTTTTTTCCTCCCAAGACAACCCCCAGTATATTACTACAAAAGTTTATACACTTATTTTTATATTTTATATATACTATATATATAAAAAAATAAAAGTTCTGCCTGGTAGGTGACTTGTGGAAAAACACAGCACCAACTACAGAGCCAAGCATTTTGTGTATTATGATTTAAAGGCTTTTAAGCATTTGGGAAAGGTTTTTCTGATGTGGAAGCTAATATACATTCCTGTGAGAAATTTTTGTGTCTGCTCTATTCCTCCTCTCCTCCCCCATTCCCCGTACTTACAAGCTGTTAACGGTCAGGGCACACTGCCACATAGCCATTTAGGAAATGTATTTGAAGGGAGAAAACTGTTCTAAATTATTTCAGCCCACTTTCTCCTGAAGCGGCACCCAGGGCACAGCGCACACCAGAGCTCAGAACCGTGTCGGAAATTCACCTTCTGCGACGTGGCAGCAGCTCACTCCCACCCGCATCCTGAAGAGCCAAGAACAGGAACAGCTTCTTCTCTCCCCGCAGAGGGGATGGTCATCGGGACACACCGGACCGGCTCTTTCTTCTCTCTCTCCAGGCTCTACCGTTTCCTATCTGAGTACCTGCCGTGGGTGGGAGGCTACGGTTACAACCTGTACACCACTTCTGAAAGCGGTCTGTGGAGTTTTTCAGGTGCACAGGGCTACCGAGATGGGAAAGTAAAGAGAAACACGTGAACTCGGTGCAGTTACGTGACAGCACGAACGGACAGTGGAAAGACTTGGGACAGTGGAAATACGGGGTTGGACTAGATGATCTCCAGAGGTCCCTTCCAACCCTAACCATTCTGCGTGATTCTGTGACTCCCAAGCCCAGCTTTAGAGAGTTGGGCTGAAAACGCATAAGCTCCATGTTTGCTCACGAGGGCCTAACTTTAGCAAGTACTGATTGCAACAATACAATGATCTTGTTAATCAATCCTTCCACAACAGGAAAATAAACCAAACCAAAACAAAACCCCACACAAACCCTAAACCAACAAAACCCCCACAAAACCACCACCCCATTTCCTTCCATCTGCACAATTTGAGATTCTTTGCATCTCATCTACAGAAGTGCCTTATCTTCTATCCTGCTGTCAATTAAGGCAATTACTCCTTTGCTATTGTTTATAACTGATGAGCAGTGATTGCCTTTATAGTAAACAATACAGTGTAATTCAAAACTGTAATTAAAGACTGATCGATGGGATAAATTTGTTACATATTTTTATTTCCATGATGTGCTCAAAAAGAGCGTATAGGGAGTTAAAAGGACGTTTTTTCTCTTGCTTCCAGCTTGCACGAGGTTTGTATGAACAGTGCAAGAGAATGAGTTTATGTGAATGCTGGTACAACTGCAAATTAAGATACAAAAGGGTAAGAAATATTTTACATGGACACTGCTAGACAGAAGAATTGAATGAAGATAAGCAGAATTTTTATAAAAAGATTTATTAAAAATAAGTTCTTCAAAGAGAAAAATTGTGATGTATGTACATTAAATTGTCAAAAACTTTATGGGGCTTATAATACAGTGTATTCCAAACTGAACAAGAGACATTCGCTTCTTTTTTTGTTGTTGTTAGTATTTCATGCTTATTGGAAGGTAACAGCATATGGGAAGAGGAGAAATAAAAACCACTTAACACACAACCATTACAAGCAAAATCTTGAAATTGAGGAGTACTTGTAAAGACAAAATTCAGTGATCAGCATGATGCCATTGTTAAATACAGACAGAAACCAAGAGTTTATGAATAGTCTTCAGTTGACACAGTTTACCTGACAACTGCTAGCTTCATTTCTACTGTGAATTAACAGATCTTAGCAAGTGGCTTGGTGCTCTATAAAGACAGAAGGATTTTGGGGACAACAAAATACCACACAAGACCAGGTAAATAAATGCTTCTTTTTCCAGCTCTACTGCAGTAGATATCAAAGGTTTCTTCTTAGGAAAAGAGTTACACAATTGCTAGTTTTCTCCTTTAACTCCCCACATCTCTGACAGCCAGAACCACAAAAATAGTTTTTCTTAAAATTATTTTATTTTACAAGAGTGTTTTGCACAAAAAGAGACATGACAAACTAACACTTGATTCTGCATGCGTCAGATGACCTCAGCTTCTCAATACTCAGAGGTCTTATTTAGAACTATAACCTTTCAGTTATGTCTCCTGAAGATTTCCCATTTTTCAGTGCATATATACAGCTAGCTGAGAACTGCAGTATTACAAACGTAATTGTAATTACAAATTGTAAATTGTAAATTACCCACCCTTACAGCAGAATTCACTCTAATCTCAGATGTATGCAGGACTTACATCTTCGTAGCATCGTCTTTAGTCCCATAGTTTAATAAGACCATCCCAGCCGCATGTAATAACTTTAGATGTTTCGTGTGGATGCCACACTGCACCGATACAGACTTTATCGTGTGCTTTTAATCTGCTGTAGAGTTTTGTTGTCTTCCAGTCCCAGATGTTAAGTTTTCCATCTGCATCTCCAGATATCACATAGCTATATTAAGAGGATTAAAATAAAAGCTGTGTCATGTGTGAAGACTGCATGTATTATAATACTTTTACATTGAGCAATGGAAAAGAGCTTCACCCTGGCTGACAGGCTGCAAACATACCTACCAAAGAATTAGCATTCATGCTGTGCTCTAAAGCGCACAAGTCCTGCAGAAGGTGATTCATCAACTGCGAGGTAAATGTGCTAAGCAATGCAATTATACCATACACTGTGTTACTGGAACTAAAGAGAATACATCAGCAAAAGAGAAAGTGCCAGAAGTTTCTCTAAAATTTATAGACACTGCTCTCCACTTTTTCTTCCAGTTTTGCCAAGGTTATTCTCCACTTTTTACAGTAGTGAGTATCTTATGTATATGCAGTGGTAAACGTATGGGCTTATTACTATGCAAATAGAATGAAAAAGATGGTTCTCTGCACAATAAATGAGGATACCCACACCAGACCTGCAAATTGGGAAAACTGGGCAAGTCCAAATCCCAGGTATTCTGGAGAAGTGCATTATTGCAGGAATAGACTCTGTGCTGCGGACCGTGCAGAAAAAGAGCCAGATGCAAGTCAGAAATGGAAGCCTCCTGTGCTGCACCAGGGCTGGGCAAAACAAGAGGAGTCTCTGGATGCTTTAACAGCAGCGTAAATCATCTTTGTGGAACGGGGAATCTGGACTACATGGACTGTTTTCTAAATGTTGCTCAGAGCAACTGCTGAGTATAACTTAGTCCTACTGAATGACAAGAGCAAACTTTGCATTCTGCTGCTTGGCTAGAGAAGTCTGATGCCGAGTTAATGGAGTGGCCGTGCATCAATGAATGTTGCAGAGGATTTAAAACGAAATTTAGTGTCCGTGCTGGCAAGTTTTAAGACGAAGCTCATTCCCACAAAAACTTACCTCATGTCAGGCGAAAAATCCACTTGACAAGCGTAGCCAGCTACCATGTGCCCTTTGAAAATTTTCTTTTTGTTTAATCTGAATCTGTTCTGAGCTCCAAAAATCAGAATTTGGTTATCCATCGACTGGCAAGCCAACCACTTCCCTACAAACGCAATAAACAAAGGTGGTATCAGAGTGCTGCATCTGAAGAAACAGACTTAACTGGAAAGTTTTAACAGATTTTTATAACTTTTATTGCACTATCTTACTCCAGATTTTCCTTATCTATCAGGGTTCTAGGTAGCAGCTGATATTGCTTCTGCCTGGTACAACAGCCAAGAGGCAAAACCTTATGTTTGACAGGATTTGGGATGCCTATTCCTACAAAATGCACTCGGGACTGTAGAAAAGCTCTGGCTGTTTTAACAATGTGCTGCATCAACCCCATTGACTTACTGATAAGTTTTTAATCTACTAAGGAAGCTTGCTGGCGCACATAATCAAGTAATCCAGATGAGGTGAAAAAACCCCATCTAGCTGCTATCTATTTCATTACCTGTTTTGTGGGGACTCTACGATCGTCACCTTTTATTTTCTTTATGGAAAAAAACTGGTCTAAGGTAGACTCGGGAGTTTGAAAATCCTTATAAATTTTTGCAATTATTTAGTATTCTCTGCCCTAATGGAATACAATTTAATAAAGACATTTTAGTGAAATAAAAACCCCCAGGCTTTTCTAATCTTAAGTCTGTCTATCTCTTTTTGTGTCTTGGCAACGCATTAACTCCTGCCTGAGAATCTAGTGAAGATGATGTGCCACAGAACATCATAGAACAGAGGCTTCTGTCCTGAACTCTTGTGTATCGTCACTGCCTTTACAGTGTTTTATGCAAACAGCGGTAACGTAGAATCATAGAATGTGCTGACTTGACGGTAAATCTGACCACGCTTCCAGCCACTAACTTGGAATTTGAGGGTATTTTTCAGTCTCCCCAAGAAACAAATCAAGTGTGTAGTCAATGCATGTTATTCTCCTCTCCTACTTTTTAAAAGGTCTGCTTCCTGCATCACTCAGAAGGAAAATTTTAATTGATGAGACTCATAAATGAGTGCCCCTAAGCACAAAAGTTCCACATCTGTAAAATTTTCCATTTACTTTTCTTTAAAGGAATCATTCAACTCCAAAATGATGCATGATGTGCCTGGCACAATCTGTAGCATAACTATTCCGAAATAAGTTGTTTTGTGTGATATTGGACTATTTTAGGTCAAGGTAATCTTAGTAAATGTGACAGGTGATGTCTTGAGCTGAAAAGATGACTGCTTCATCCCTAACATCATTTACTGTCTCATCTCAGAAGTCAAATACTCAAATGCTGGCCAGCCGGAACTGGAAAAAGAATAAGAAATCCAATATTTCAACGTGGAAGAATGAGAGGTACTGAAAAACTGGATCAGAATACAGCAAGTTGTGCAATTTCAGAAAGCGGGATTGACATAGGCCAGCTTGGGAAGCTAACATTTTAAAATGCAGCTATCTTTTCCTCCAGAATCTTCCTTTTATATTAGAAACCCACTTCTATTGTTATGAATAAAAAACATATACTGCAAAGCAAATACAATTTGATGCTGATAGCTGGCTGAAAACGTTAGCTGTGCAACAAGTTGATCAGCCACTACTCAGTGTAATGGGACTGTAAATCTGGCAACACTTTAATAATGTTGACATTAAAGCTATTTAATTTTGGCCAAAACAGACAAGAGATTTTTGTCCTGTTAGAAGGATTTTCAGTGATTACTAGAGGCACTAAATCCTTATCCTCTTTCAGTTTGATTCTAATTGAAGAACACCAGTGAAACATTAATACACAGACACACTGAGATAATTTGGGATTTCTCTTGTACAGGAGTTATTTGAGCTATATACAGAACAGAAAGGAACAGCATTAACAGGATCATGTACAACAGCAGTTTCTGCTTTAACGGTGGCACCACAAAGACTGCTGAACTTGCTTAGAACTTTGCAGCCATCGCCAGTTCCCACCATTGTTTATCTTAGTATTTTAAATGCAGCAAAGAGCACATCGTAGCTCTATGAAAAGAAAGAGTCCTTTTGCCCTGTCTGGATGAAGATCTAAAATTAAATTGATAGAGTTATCCTGATATAACCCTTCATTTTGACAGACTTCTTGATCAAAACCAGATCCAGTCCAATGTTGGAATAAGGCACACACTGATTTGGGGGAGGGGTAGTGTGGGGTGATGAGGGATGCAACACGGCAACATTACAGAGATATAGTCGGTAAGACAGTGTAAACTAGGCCTAAGAAGGCAATAAAGTGTTAACCTACCATTTGGAGACAAAGTCACGGCTGGCATCGAATGCATACTTGGCTCAGCTATGTACTTGAAGTCTACAGGAATGTCCCTGCAAAAGGAAGAAGTATGTGTTTTATGAAGACATGGAGATGTTCCAAAGAGCTGCCTCCAGTCAGCTGATTTACTCCGTCACTGAACCTCAGACAGCGTATGCTGGTGTCCAAAGGAAAAATGTGCAAAAGCTCAAAAATATTATGAATGCCCACCTAGAGAGCTCCAGCTGCGGAGCCATGTACAGGATAACCTCTGATAGAGTGCATTTACCCTAATCAAATGACCCAGAGTCTAAAGCACAATCATAATTCCAATTGTTAAGAGTAAAACTGTAACACAAAGACACTCTATTGCCTCCAGTTTAACTGCAGCTCCTAAAAAATTCTTACATAGGTAGCAAGAATAGACTGATACATGCATCTACTTTATCGGAATGTCTTACTGACTTGAGTTTTAACTAGAATATTTCTGCCTTTTCTTTAAAAAGAAAAAAAAAAAGAAAACGGGAGTCTCTCTCTCTGACAATGCTCTTTTCTTCCTGATCTCCCCAAACGGGATACCAACCAATTCCAAATGTACACTGCTGAACTGAACCTTGAACTCATACAGGTCTTGACTGCATACAGGACTGTGCCAGTGTACGCTGAGAACATACACTGGCACGTGCAAAGGCCTAGGGAAAAAAACGAGTACAGTCTAAGCCTTACTCTTCAGAACCGCCAAACACTATATAAATTGAATTACTAACAGGCTGTGCATATTCATAGTATTCCTCATACCCTACACTAGAAGACTGCTAAAAAGGGAAGGCATGCGCATGTCTTTCTCATTAAGCAAAAGGAATCTCCAGCAGAACATAGATTTGATCGATGTATTTAGCAGAAAATGCATGTGAAATGTTCTGTAGCAACATTAATTAATACAAAGGGGATGGTTATGACTCCATTGTTTAATTCACACTGTAGAAAGGCTGCTGGGACACAATCAGAGCTGAGAGCGTGGGTGGCTGCCTTGTACTAGTTGACTGAGCTTTGTTGGATGGCAATACGGTCGACATTACCAAGGTAATTACAAATCTATTTTATTGCGGAGTAAGTTATTTCCCCTCATCATATTAAGCAACGTGCACATGGGCAGCAGGGTGAGGAGCGGCTCTGTTGTCAGGAAGCAACGCAAATGCTCCTGAAAGTTAAATGTTAATATCATCTACCCTTCAGAATAAGAAGGGCAACCCCATTAATACGCTCTGTTGATAAGAGCATGCACAGGGATAGCTGGCTTCCAAACAGGCACACCTAAGACTACTTTTGGACAGTAAACCTGAAAAGGAATAACAAAAAGACCACATAATCTCTGAGGCTGACCAACACGACAGCACAGGAAGCGCAGCCCCCCCGTGCCCCATTCCACCCTTCTGCATCAATACCCAAACAGCTTCAAACCCCACCGCAACAGGACCCAAGGTCATCGCTGCGGTAAGGCCAGATCCTGATCAGCTCCCACCGTCCAGCATTCCCGGAGCCCACACTGGTCATGTGGAGTCCTCGATGCCAGGTAAAAGCAATCCCACAGGAAGCCCCATTAAAAAAAGTCTCATCGCAGAAGATGCTTCTCCAATGCTGAGTTGTACTGCAGTGAAGAATTTAAATGCAGCACAGGTTGTCCTGCCTTCTCTCCCTTTACATATGAAGGCAGGCTCATCTACCGCAATTTATTCAAGACAGCTCTGCTTTATGTTGAAACCTACCAGACACACTTAGGACAACTGCATGATACACTGCATTAAACTATTAGGCAGAATAAAGAGATACATTTATGTTCCACATTTGCTTCCGGTCAAATTGCTAAATAAGTAGTATCAGCCTGCTCCCTTAAAAAAAAAAACTCAAAAAAGAAAAATTACCAAAAAAGATGCTGTCATGGTTGCCTGACCTCAAAACTCATGTGATATATTTTTTGTTCAAATTTTTAAATTTAAAGATCTTCAAGTCCTTTCCCCACTTCTGAAGGGCTGAAAAGTTTTCAATATCAAAAGTACTAACTGCTGGGGTTCTAATTCTTCCCCAAGCAGGAGAGAGAAAAATCCTTTTAAAGAAAGAAGAGGAAAAAAAGCCCACCAAAACATAAACCCCAAACCCAACCCAATCCAATTTTCGGATCTACACATCATGAAGAGTTCTCTCGGGAAACTACAGTATCTTTACCAGGAACGATGGAGAGAAAAGGCCTGCTGGGGGTCACAGCTTTACAGAGATGACAAGCCTCCTAGGCCTGTCAGGATAATAACTAAGCCACCACTGTACAGGTCTTGCTTTGCTAGCTGACTTGAAGGTAAAAGGAAATAAAAGCCTCCAAGGTCAATTGCCCAAATCTTTTCACTGTTTATCCAAGTAGGATCAGAGACAGACAAAGACAAAACAACATTTTGCATTGCTAGAAGAAAGAACACAGAATATGATACCCATGCCAACTTTAATATCCCTGCTGTAATGACACAACCACATGAAACATGAAAGCAGACAAATGTTAAAGTGCTCCGATTAAGATTCCTACAGAAACAGTGTAATCTGCAAGAGTCTGTGCTATACTTGCAGTCTGAACTTTCAGCAACCAACCAACTGCAATTCAGCGCACAGCACAGGGAAATCTATGCATGGGATTAACTCTTGGGGAAAGGATATTTAAATTCTCAGGGGAGAAGTTCCTCACTGTGATGAAGTCTGACAAGGCATCCCATTACCAGCTCTGGCCAAGTCAAAGTGTTTACAAAACATACTACAAAATTCCTCTAGACAATTGCAACTAAGCAGTTAGACCAGCTTTAATTACCGGCTTTTAAGGCCATACTCAAGTCATAATTACTTCTGCTTTGTTTCTGTAGGATACTGAAGAAATATTGTGCTGAAGAACATATGAAGAAACATGCCAAAAGGTGAAGCAGCCAAATCACTCTAAGTTGCAAATAATTTTCCTGATGAACTTAGGAAAAAGGGATGTGAGGTGCAGCATGAAATAATTTCCCACGGAAGTTTTCAAGCTCGAAAAGCTTCTGTAGTTAATATATTAGCTTAGTTTTAGCGCATTGTAAAAATCTGGATCTTGAAATTATAGAAATATGCCTACAGACCAATTAACATCTATCATGGCAGGCTGTGGAGAAAGATTTTCAAGTCGTGCCTAGGAAGACAGCATTACATTTGCTTTTTATAAAATCAAAAAAAATCCCCGACGACTGTATTACAGAATATTGCCTACAATGGAGTTGCCTATTATCCAAACAAGGGAGGTCTTTCTTCAGCGTTACCGTAATATAAATTTTTTTTCTTCAGTACATATTTTTTTCTTCAGACAGAAAAAAACTTCTGCTACTGGAACAATTGGGTTGCGATGTTCCCATGCCAGAACCTTTTTGCCTTTCCTGCTCTTCCCCACTGAGTGACTAAATCCACCCACTTCGCTATTTATTTCAGCCATCAACACAAAGCTCACAAAACAAGGGCAGTTCAATCTCAAGGAAATAACAGATTTGTACAAGTGAGATCCTCCTCCCACTTGCCAGAGAGGAGACACTCCTTACCAGATATGATGTTGTAAAGATTTTTTCTTTTTGGAGCTCAGTAAATACATGGATCCAATTATGAAACACTGAACAGAGGCCCTCTTGGAGTGACATATGGTGACAGCATTACATGTCTAGCCTAAGATTGGGTTCCCAGACTTTGGTCATTACCACTGCTGCTACTGGCAACGATAGCAGCCGATCACAGACATTCTGAGGGTTTTGCTGGCTGTTTGGGTAACATTCCAATACCACAGATTGGAGTCCCTTGTCTAGGTTTAGAAAAAAGAAAAAAAAAAAAGGCTAGGAAGGAACTGATGAGTCACAGAGCGGTTGAACTAGTATCCATATTGTACAACAGCTTTGCATGTGTGAATGGCAAAATGAAATGGATACCTAAAGATACGGGAGCGATTATTTCAAAAAGAAATTTGAAATCCTAGAGAAATCTTAAAAGTCCTAAGCTGAAAATCTTAGTACCTAGAACCCTGAGGAAAACATTTCAGATAGGAGAGATTTGGTTTCTACCAAGATGTGTTAAAAATCGGAAGCCATTTAAAATGATGTTTTTATGAATTTCTTAGATAGACTTTCACTTATTCATACTGTGGGTATCAATGATTGCCGAAAAACCCAGACTACCAGAAAACCAGAAATGAAGCTATACTAAACTAGTGATTTCATACATGGGCCAAATATTATATAATACTATGCATATCCAAATTCAAAGCTTTCAAAACCAACACACACTAATATAACAGAGCAAACATTTCTTTAAAAGCTTAATTGAAGGGCTAATACACCCTTGAGGAAAGGAGAGAACAGAGATCACTAATAGAGTGTGGTGTGCTTCAGGCTGACAGGGCTTATGCTTTCTTTGGGGGAGAAGGAAATCTGTGAAGTGTCTCAAGTACTAAGCCAGGAAGTGTTGGTTAGTATTCAGGAACGTGATAGGAAGCAACTAGTTTTAAAGATTAAAATCTCTAGAGAAATTATTCTAAAAGATACACTATTAAGATAAATTATTAATAATTGATGCTAAAAATAAGTACACCCCAATGCACATATAAAATCTGCACCAATAAAACAGATGCTATTTAAATCATTTTATTTTGCATACAGTGATTTAGGTTTTTTAGGCTTTAAAAACACTTCTCAAATATTGCAGTGCAGTAGGGCAGTAAGCTAGGGATGGTAATTAGCTATTAGACATTAAGAATGATTTCAAAGACATTGAAAGTATTATACTAAGATTTTGGAAGGGATGTTTCCTTTCACTGGACAAAAATGTTTAAGAACTATGACCCATGCTAGACTGAGTGACGGTATGCAGGAGTTTGCAGAGTATATGCCCAACTTCAACAGTTATCAGAAATTAGCACCAACAATAGCTGGACTGTTCTGGTTCTACTTTGTTGTGAAACGTTTTAGCTACTGCATATGTAATCACATAAAAATTTGTAGAAATTTAAATTCAGCTCTTCCTCAGCTACCTGGAACTCAGAACACTCCAGTGTCCTATGTGCTATGTATACTTTTAAAAATACACTCTCAAGTTTCCTTATAATATACTTCAAGTTAAAATTCAAATTTTTAAACTTACCATTCCCAGACTCTTAAACTCTTGTCATCAGATGTACTCACAAACCTCCTATTTTCATCCACAAACACAATGGTGTTGACAGCTCCCAAATGCCTATCGTATTCCTGCACAATCTCACCACTTCGAATATCCCACTACAAATAAAAACGTCAGAATAAGACCTTGTTTGTTACTAATGATTGTAATTTTTAGGGGAAGAGACATTAAGTAGACATACCTGCACAATTTTCTTATCTGACATTCCTGCAACAAAGAGATTTTGTTTATCTTCATCAGGATTGAACTTGACACAATAAGGAACCTTCCTGTTTGTGAATCTTGAAATACATTGCCCTGCAACAGACAAGCCATTCATAGTGCATCAGGTTGGAAGTTCTATGGGCTGATTAGTCCTTTGCAGATATTGATAAAACCCATTCATTTTAGTTATACTTTACTAACAGAAGGAAATACTTGTTTTAAAGTCTGTGAGAGGATTAGAGGATAGAATTTACCCTGCTCTTTGATTATACTTTCTTCCACATGTTTGCATGTGTGCACCCGTATAAACACATACACGTACAAACCGTTCCATACCTTTATTACAGCTTTCCAAACAATATAACTGCTCAGTACCCTGGATGTCATCAAGGACATCAGGACTGGTCAGGCTATCACGAGCTGACCACTGTCTTTGCAAAGCATAACCTCCTTAGGTTCAGAGGTCTTCTTGACAAGAGACTTAAACTCAGGCAAGAATTCCTCAATCCTAAGCCTAGAAAAGGATAACAGTAATCCAACTGCAAAACAAACCACTGACCTCTTCTCAAGCCTCAGCCATAAATACCCTGATTACCTGTGATCTGTAATTTACAGGAGCCTGTTTTAATCCAAAAGCTCAATACATTTTTCACGTGTCTAAATAACTGAGTTCAGATTCAGCACCGGAGAATTTGACTTTTGACCTTTCTGGCTGTCACCTGTATGAGACTAGTGACACTGCTAACCAAAAAAGCTAATGTCTTTTTCAAACATGGAAACTTCCTGTCTTAGGAATAGACTTAAATCTAAAAGAACACTGACAAAAATCTATCCTGTATCTTTTTAGCTTAAGAAACTATTTGGAGCGGAATGTTACAGAGCATCTCCCAGGCAGTTCTGTGACAGCATCAGCCCTACCCTTCGCTACCTATACCAGCAGCTCCATTTCCACCACCTTTTCTTATTTGAAGTGCTCTTCAAGTTCAGGTTAACCGAAAGATCAAGCAATGTAATTCTTCAAAATTAAGCACATTTAGGTCTAAAGTGTGATTTCGTTACTTAATTTTATGCCTGTAAATGTAAACATGCAATTAACTGATTTGGTAAAATCTTGTCTTTTTTGCTGAAAATTGTTCTAGCATTACAAATAACTATCAAACATCTCAAATAAAAAGGTACATGAAATACAGGTATATAGGTAGTGTCAATTGCACCATTACAGATAACAAAACATTTAGGAAACAAAGACTATTCATCCTATAATGAAAGCCTGAACATTGAACTACCAGACAATATTGAGGACAACCGGAAACACCCTGACTGATAATATACCTTGATATTTACTATTAATTAAACATAGTGCCAAATAACAGCGTCTACAAATACAAGCCCACCTGTTTCAGTGTCCCAGAGTTTCAGATAGCGGTCATATGCAGCACTAAGAAACCGAGTGCCAGCATTATTAAAACAGATGTCTCGAACAGCTTTACTATGTCCTACAAGATAGAAAAAAAAGATGTGATTAAAAACTTTTATCCATTCATGCATTGTTTTTTTTTTTTTAAAAAAAAAAAACGTTATTCAAGTTAAATGCTCCAGTCTTTAGCATTGCAAAGAGAACAAGCAAACCACTTACTGAAGTTCTTCATGAGCACTAGTAAAGAATGATTCGAGTGAGAAAGTAACTCCTAAAGCATGATGAGAATAAAAACCCCAAATCCCCACACCTCTAAAGCACTGGAGAGAGAAACAATAGCATTGCACAGAACCAACCACTGTGCCTCATTCATAAATTGTTACACAAGCAGAACTTTAAGTACTGTTGGCTTCAAAGATGGTTCTGGTCACAGCTAAGAGCTGCAAGAGAAGTTTAAAACACTGTAATAAAAGCCAACATTTTATGAAAAAGAAGAGAGACAAACAGTACAGGAGATACATTTATAGGAGAAACATTTAAAATCAGAAAACAGGTATGAAATATAGGAAATATCAGATCAGAAAATTAAGAATGCTTTTATCTCGTTAACCTTGGTACCCCTCAACCTCAATCTGACCACTGCATCAGACTTGTAGGAGATCTCTTTAGTTAAAACATTGGCACAGTAACTTAAATATAGCAAAATAGCTGGTGAATCTGGTTGATAATAAAGACCTTTTGAGAAAAACAGTCAAACTGTTCAGAAAGAGCAGTCTATTGAATGAGAACCTTTTTTGAGCCATCATTTTTGCCACACTGCTGTCATCAGAAGTATTAGGTGAAAAAAAAGACGTCTTTGTTGTTGCTCAACATATATTCACTCAGCGTTCTAGAAATGTTCCCATTTCAAACGGAGAATCAGCTGCTTTTGTTCTGTATTCAAGGCTGCTAAGAAGTTTATATTTCTCTCTCTCAGCCATCTGCTTTATAAAGCACCTGTTACATGAACAAAGATGGCACCTGAACCTAAAAAAAAAATCCCCATGCTTTTGCACTAGAAACTCAGCACAGAAAAGACCACCTATTTAAGATCATCACAGCATGAGATGCCCTCACTGCATAAATACAGTGGGCTGCTGTTCTCAACATGAAGATGGGGCAATTTAATTTCACAATGTTGCCTTTGGAAAGGAGTCTTGCATAAAGTATTGATGACTGCAGTACGCTAATGTTTTGTTTTAGGGGTTGTAAGGTGTTATACATCAACATTAAGTTGCCTGGAATAATGACAAAGGTTCACTAAAAACGTGCACCTTTTTCAATTCTTATTGCCGAGATCACACTGAATACCATTTGCCTTGGTTGCCTACAGGTCCTCTCTATGATAAAGTAATACGCTAACCTAAGGCATATCCTTCCATGAAGTTGTTTTAAATATACATCAGTTTAAAAAAAAGACTATTACCAATAAATGTTCGCAGACATCTTCGATCACCGTATACTTCCCATAGCTTGGAAAAAAAAAGGGATAGGGAGAAAAGATGTCAATTGTTAAACAATAATGATGCTGAAATTAAGTGCAAACATATATGGCAACATCTTTTAAGAAACTAATTACAAACATATGACATCTACTGATTAATCACAACTATCTACCCAGGAATCCACAAGAATGCCGTCAGCTGCTTGTTAGCAAAACCCCCTTAAAACAACAAAAAACCCCATACCATAGTCCACTTTAAAGCCCTAAGGTTTTGCTAGTGAAAAAAAATAATCAGCAGCTTTCTAATATGATGTATGCTGGACTAAATGAGATTAGTTCAAGACCACAAATGCTTTGGTAAGACACTTCAGCAGAAACCTATTGCTACTTGTAAAATCAGGCTTTGCAGAAAATGAATTATTATAATAACAGAGACGATAACCTGAGGAACTTGTGACCTTCTAAATGCTATTACTAAATGATTAATACTGTTCTAACACCCACAGTATTGCGTATTATTTCTTTCTTTGTTCCAACAAATTTATAATTTAATATTCAAGTGAGAAAAATAAAAGTAACAGACAAAAGGTACTTGCTAGAAGTATCAAACGTTTAAGTATTCTAAAATGCATTTTATGTATTCAATTATGGTACAAAATATATACATGAAACCAGAAAAAATAACTCACCTTAATTTTGCAATCCATAGAGCAAGACAACAGTATATGCCCAGAGAGAGGAAACAATCTAACTGCACTGACACCCTGTAAATAAGGACATAATTAAACAGTAAGTGGAGCATCTAGATATTTGCTCAGTTCACTTGCCCTCTTTTCTAAGCAAAAAGCTAAAGCTTATCTTCACAAAACATACAGATACTGTATCTTGAAAAGAAATAACCTATCCACATTCCATTTTAGAAACAGCGATGCCTTCAGAACAATTGTTATTGGCAACAAATTGATTTGCTTCAACAGCTGTATTTATACCCTCCTTCAACACTTACACCATTACTGTGGTAAACACAGCACAGAAATACAAATTATGGGTTTGGGTGACTGTTTCTGTATACCAAGCCTTTCCAGCTGGGGCAGGTGAGGAATTTTTCCACAAAAACCCGTTTCTGGCCAGCTCCATTTCTTACATATACTACCAGTGGCTTCTACCCACTGACTCAAGATTCCCTGGGCTCAGCATCTTCCCATCTATCTGCATTTCAGGTACTCTTCCAGAGGAATTGCAAAGAACCACCAAGTACTCATAGTGTGATGTGCCTTCTTTCAATTTCATGTCAATTACTCTATTCATACTCCGTCCAGCTCCTCCCACCCCTAGTTACAGTGGGGTGCTTTATCCTCTCTATTATGGTCTACTTATATCCCCCAGCTTTTCTACATTTGTTAGTCCATCTTTCTTTTGCATCTCTTATCAATACTGTTACTCATCTCTTGTTTGAAGGAAAAGGCTATTTCATGCATCAGTCTGTTCTAATAGGATAATAGGCAGAGGAATGACTAGAGCTTTGGGGAGGAGATGTTATTCTGGAAACCACTGATAGTGGCAGCTACAAGCTCTTTGATGCAGCAATCATTAAAGAAGAATTCAGAGTTGTGACTCAACTAAAAAGGGGTAAAAGCTAAAAGCATGCCCTGTGTCCTCCTTTCTTCCATCTTTCAGATATCATTAAGGTGCTGTCCATTGCAGCACAGCATATTCCCCTCAAGCAATACTGAAAATGAAAGACAAAAGTAGCAGGAAATTGAGTATAAGCTTTACAGACCTGATCAGTGAAACACTTTTTTAATACCAAAATTATGTACATCGTTATGGGCTCTGGCACAAGAAGAAACTGTAAATGTTAAGTAGCATCATCAAAGAAAACTCTTAAGAAGGCACGCCTCTCAAAGGTAATAGCTGTACTTGTGAATCCTGTAATGCTGATGCATCACAAAACCAATGTAACTTTTCATAAGTTTGATATGAAATACCTCTTAAGTACTTTTACTGTAAAAAGAAAAAAAAAAAGCATTTTCGGGGATCTCTAGAATTAGCCTTACTTTTATTCACGTGGTAGTTTAGGAAATAACTCCAAATCCCACAGAAGTCACTGAATATTTGTCCCCTTAAAGGAGGTCAGGAAGTCACTACGTTAATGAAAAAGTATATGCAGGCAAATACCTTGTGTGAGCATCTAATGCAACCAACTACATGCATAATGTGGTAAAGACGAAAATACTCCTTCCGTCTACTGATACTTCAGTTTCATATAAGTTACTCGCTTCAGACACAAAGTGAAGTGGGTTTTTATGATGCACAAACACAACTTCCTACCTTTGTATGTCCTGACCACACATGGATTTGTTTCTTTGGAAGATAGCATTTCTCAGGTGGCACTGTAGAACGAAGATTAACTCCAACATCTTGTGGGACGTGAAGATAAGATCTCCCCTGATAGTCATACATTTCCTTAACTGAAAGGTAAACGCAGAATCCTGAGAATCCAAGAGCCTGTATTTTAAGAGGTTATAATCTTCAAAAGGCTCAACAGCCACACACAATTAAGATTTTTCTCAACACAGCTGTTCTGCTGTGAAGTGTGTGTGTGTGTGTGTGTGAGAAAACCCCGCTTCATAGGACACAGATGTGAAATCTTATTTAACATCAGTTGAGCTCAAATTAAGTCATTTCAGCAAAATCTGCTCGGAATCTGATAATACGAATATTAAGACAATCTCTCCCCTGCACATCTTCCTCATCATCATCAAAGAGCAAGAGAGTTTCTCAGGACAACAAGGGTTTGCTTACACAAACTCTACACGGATTCTAATGTGCAACTCTAACCCTGGCGTTTGTTTGCAATTCACTTTCCAGCCAGGTCTGTGCTGTGTCAGTCACGTCAACAGAATTAGAAACTAGAGAAAAATAGATCCATTTGGCCAGTGTGAACCAATATTGGTCAGCAGTAGCCAACAGCTGCTCTTTAATGAGATTTAAGAAGTGACCGGACAGTCAGACATGCAGGGATGCATTGTGCCTGGAAACAGATACTTCACAGTAGACTTGCGTTGGATAACCATGACATTAACCTGTGCACATATTAATTTCTCAGTTTCTGGGATATTGTTATGGCAGTTTTGGTTGTACAAGTGACCTCCCACACAGTACCCTTGTTTACACATCATCTACGAAATGGCATATTTCGGGAATGTTTGTGTTTGAAAAGATTAAAGTTTATCTTGTGAGGTCTTCCACTGTGAAATTTTAGGCAGAGACCATGAAAAGTTGGATACAAAATAATTATTCTATAGCAGGCTCAATGGCTAATATTTCAGGTTTGTTATGCTCATCGCTATTCAATAAATATTGTTGTGATCTACTATATATAAACAGCATGAAGTACTAATGTCAGCAATGCCTATCTGACAGCCACTACTTTAACGCATATAAGAAATGATGCTCCAGCTTGTGCATGTAGGCCTGGCCGTGGAAAGAGACTGGGTTTACCTAACTATCTGTGCCAAGCAATACAAGGCAGGACTGTTTTGCATGCAGAGAGTTGAAATAATAGTTTCCAAAAATCACGTAATTTTACTTCCTAACCAAACCATTTTCTTTGCAGGTACCACATGCTATAGGCTTCCATAGGGTAATTATTTGATACACAATTATTCCTGGTATGACAGCAAGAACATTTCCATTAAGAATTGAGGAAGTATAAAGTCCAAGTGATTTTCTAAATTGTGAGTAAGCCGTAACTCAAAGCACTACCTGCTGATGAAAGTACCAACACATAAAACGGCAGTAATTCTGAAGTTGAAACTAAGCCAAACTCACAGCTTTACAATGTTTGCTCTGTAAAATAGGAAAGGGATATGTGCATCTAGTACCACTAAAAATAAATAAATAAAACCAGTACCCTGAAAGATGACATTTCCACACTGCTCTTCACAGTATGAAGTGGAACTAGTCCAAGTTTATCTCTTTCCCTGTCCTTTACGCTTATGCCTGTGAGCGCTATTATCTCTAATACAGAAACATCAAGGTGCCTCAGCAAAACTGCTGAGGCTGTGTGCCATTCTTACTAATTAACACAGCAGGCAAGGAAACACAGTGAGCAAGAAAATGAGAACAGGCAGGAAGATGCCATTACCATGTAATATAGTCTTCTCCTCTCCAGGTTTATCATCTTCTAGTTTTCCTCTCTTCTGCCTCTTAGCTGTTATTTCATCCAACTCTTTCTGTTCTTCCTGGAAAAATAAAACATGATCTTGACTTTTAAAAATTCAGCGTTCAGAATCATGTAACAAAATCCAGAACTGCACTACTGTTTACTTACTATTAAGAATACATTTATTTCCTAAATGAGATTAGAAATATTTCTAAGCATCAGTAAAGAGAATACCTTTATCAAAAACAGAATAATGTAAAAAAAGTGATGTCTGCTGAAAAGCATGGAATATTATCTTTTTATTCACAGACTACAGCTAAGCATCACTGACTGAACAAAAAGGATGTTTGTTGGTTGGAGAGGGTTTTTTTTGAGGTTTTTGTGTTTGGTTTTTTAATTTATTTTATTTTTTAAAAAAGTTTTACTTTCGGTTCTTTTCAAGCTGCTTCTGTTTATAAACATCTTTTAATTAGACTCTACACGCAGATACAATTAATTGTATTTCCAAACATCCTTGCAAATAATTGAATGGAGAATATTCAGAACACCTTATTTGGACAAATTACCTGAAATGTTTCTATCACCCTAAAACATAGCACAGACCTTCTGCTTGGAAAAACTACTAGTGCAGCTGAATCTCTGTTAAAACCACTGCGATGTACTAACAATTTGTATCTATTGCATTGAAGTAGTACTTACTTCTGATGGTTTGGCTACTTCTTTTTCATCAACATACTTTGCCCATGGTCCCAGAAAACCATCAATATTAGATGCATCATTCTCCTTGAATTTCTTCCTTTTTTCAATTTTCTTTTGTCCTGTTTCAAACACTGTTAAACCTGAAGAAAGAAACAATACACTGCCTAGCTGCTAACACAGAATACAACATCACAGGTCATATCATAGTCAGTTTAAAAGAAAAAAACACCACCACCGCTTCTTCCAATACACACAGCAAAACAGAAAAAACATTTGAGCAAAACTGGCCAAAGTATCACTAACTTTTCTAACTGTGAACACTGCTAACTATGTACGGTAACAGAGGAACCACTTCAACTGTGTGTCATGGTCTGTCAGAGTATTTAACCATGCAGGTACCCATGCATTTTTCACAATATGTCTGCAGACTGTATGAATGCATCAATTTTCATACTTCAAACAGTGCAGTGTTTGAAAGAGTAGAGTCCTAACAATTGGCTTCTGATCCCCCTCACCTCTCTCAGTTTATAATAAAAACCACCCAACCCCAAAATAAGACAAGTTTCCCAAAGCCCCAACCGTGTATGTAAATCTAGTAAAAAGTCATAGAATGATAGAATGGTTTGGCTTGAAAGGGACCTTTAAAGGTCATCTAGTCCAACCCCGCTGCAGTGAGCAGGGACATCTTCAACCAGATCAGGTTGCTCAGAGTCCCGTCCAACCTGACCTTGAATGTTTCCAGGGATGGGGCACCTACCACCTCTCTGGGCAACCTGTTCCAGCGTTTCACCACCCTTGTTGTAAAATTTTTTTTCCTTATTTTCAGTCTGAATCTCCCCTCTTTTAGTTTAAAACCATTATCCCTTGTCCTATCGCTACAGGCCCTATTTAAAAGTCTGTCCCCGTTGACACGGTCATCTCACTCCAACCACTCACTATCTTGTTCTTTCATATAAATGCTAGCTTTTCACAAATGCTATCCCCTCAGAATTTCATTGCTAAAAACCAATAAGTATAAATATGGGATTAAAAAAAATTAAAGTTAAAAGCTGTTGAAGTAATGACTTAAAAAGGTTTTCCAAAGGTTGCATACGCGCAATTTTCAAACAATGATTTCCAACAGCATCAGTAATATTCACCTAGTGCAAAGGAGCCAAAAAAGAGCTTTGTATAAGCACAGGGAAATAGGCAATGTAAAAATTAAAGTAATGATCATATGATTGAATTGTACATTAATGAAGCTTTCTTAAAATAAATTACTAAAATTCCATTATGAAAAGGTTAGGTTTTTATTTCTGAAATTACTTCATCTTAGCCATTTCTGACTAATACTTGTAGCTGCTATACCAAAGTAAGTCTCTCCTACTTT